TCTCTCTAAAATTTCAATTCAAAAAAGGTCCATATATATAAAAACATGAAATCAGAAGTCTAGTTTGCCTTAAAATTCATATCTATCCTGTGACCCACTAGCACTCATGGTAACATGCTGGAATTATGCGTCGCAACGCCCTGGTTCGATTCCTACTTATCGCGCTGAGATCGAGATGTAAAAACTACGGTATATCCTGGACGAGGATTCATTTAGGAAAGCAAGGCGAGGTGAAATTCAAAAGGCATCGCGAGGCCTATTCATACCATGATGTTAAACTTACTCTTAAGTCCTACATCGCCTAATGCAACTTTTGATGAATACGCTTCTTATTTTAAATATACCTATAATATTAAGCCTAAACAAGTGCAACACATCGAACTTTGCTTGAATAATTCACACATGGGGTAATTAGACAACACTTTACAACTTTATGTCGAGTTTTATATTCTTTTATAGATGTTAAATAGGACGAATTCTTCTTTCAATGTCAAGCCTCTTAGAGTGACGAAAGGCGTAAGAAAAGTTTAAGAAAAAGAATATAATTTTTCAGATGCGCATACAAAGATAGAACTTAAATCATATGAATATTACGGAAAGAATAAGGAAAATTAAAGGATTTACGATAAAAGTAAAATAACAGGATCAAATGAACAGTCATAAATATATAGGCAAGAAAGATTTGCTCTATTATGGATTTGGCCCAGGAGGATACTGAGAGACTATGCTTTGAGGATTCGCAGGCAAAGGAGGCATACCAGTAGGTACTTTACTACTTGGACCCTCTGTATATTGATTATGGTATCCTGGAACATTGGATCCATAAGGAGCCCCAGAACCATACCCAGATGGTGGCATAAAACCACCAGCGTTTGCTTGTGGATAGGGCCCAGTATTAATTTGTGAGTACGGCCCGACATTCTGTTGTGGGTAGGGTCCGGTATTCTGTTGTGGATAGGGTCCGGCATTCGGTTGTGGATAGGGTCCGGCATTCGGTTGTGGATAGGGTCCGGCATTCGGTTGAGGATAGGATCCGGCATTCGCTTGGGGGTAGGGCCCGATATTTGCTTGCGGGTAGGGTCCGATTGGCCCTTGTGGGTAGTGTCCAGTATTAACTTGGGGGTAATTCGCAGGAATCCCGAAACGGTGTGAAGAAGAAGCCATATTTGGATGGGTACTCATCCCATAATAAGGTTGATGAGACTAAAAATTTGATAGATTATAAATAGGCTTAACAAATAGACAATTAAAAAAATGATTAATACCGAATAACGTTTAAGGAAATTCTGATCGCACGCCATTGTCCCCATAGGACAGAATCCACAGACACAGCGTCCTTTCTTAAGGGATAATAATATTGGACAAGAATACTTTGTACATCTTTCTCTGTAATTTAAACTGCCTTTTCGCCAATTTAGCTGGGTTATGTCTAAGTTTTAATCCATCGTCAGACGAACTATATGGAAATAAGGAGAAAAATAAAAGACCTGCTGCTGCTGCTACTACTACAACCCCGATAGTATTTTTTCTTCCCCATTAGAAAACAACAAATGAAGGGAAGTATGCGGATTAAGGTAGTAAGCTAGTTTTATTAGTTAAAACAAATAACCTAGATTTAAAGTTAACAACAAATTATAAATTATAGTTTTTTGATATTTGTATTATTTATGTTGTTTTAAAAAATCTGAAAAAGTGTTGTAAAAATTGCATTTAGTTGATAAATTGAAACCAGAAATTCGAACATCAAAATGAATCCGACATTTTCG